CCCCCATGGACCCCCAACAGACACCCGGCGCAGAAGGTGAATTCAAAAGGCCTGAGCATACTGCCTGTCCAGTAATTAGCCACTTGCAAAGGCTCATTTTAATAATATTCAAATGATGAGGAAGCTACACGTCAGGCTCACTTCTGCTGTCGTGCGCTGATGGATCACACAGCAGCCATGTTCTCTGTTTTGTATATCTTCTGGATCTGGAACTAGTTCACATTTATGTTGAGGAACCAGATAGCCTGCTATGGATTTGTGTTTAAGTGTAAGTTTTTGTTTTTGTTGTGTCTTCTTAAAGTGCAGGGTTTGATGCATGGAAGTCTCCTTTATAGTGAAGGCTACATAAGGTGCATGTTTAGGGTATGATTTGTGTTCCTAGTATGAATATAGGTTTAATAATGTGACGCTCAAATGGTTATAATACAGTTTGTTATTTCTCAATCATCCAATTTATCCATAAAATGGCCAAAAATGTCAATCAGTGTTTACCAAATGTCTCAATTAGTCCACAACTCATATATATATACATCTTGCTTTCCTAGAGGAGTGAAGAAACCATAACATTTTCACATTTATGAAGCTTGATAATATGTCGTCCACAATGTGCATCAGTGTTTCCAAAAGCCCAAGATACTGTAAAGTCCTTTGTTTTCTTGTTTAGTCCACACCTTAAAATTATTCATTTCACAGACATTGAGAAGTAAAGAAATCACATTTAAAAAGCAGAAAATGTGCGTTTAATTTAATATTTCACATTGTAATAAATCATCTTCGCAGCTTTTGGGCTAACACCAAAAAGCTATTTATATAGTGAGTCTGCCATTGATTATGTGCTGTTGGAAAAGACTGTTCAGCCACGACATGAACTCTGTCAATGATCCTTCAGACTGCCCTTGGTTTATCTCTGTTTGCTGGTACTCTCGAGTTATTTGAGGACAATCTATGAGGGGTTAACCTGGGCTGAATGCTGTTTGCACGTTGTATTTAAACATTCATCATCAGTGGGTCACCATAGTTGGCTTTAAATCGTATCATATCAAGATATTTCACATCTCATCAAACATTGTAAAATGATTTGCCTACACCTATTGTTTGCTCTATCGATGAAATCTCATGTTGCTTCAGGCTGAACAAAAGAACAGAGTGCTTTTGAAAAAAGTCCAATTGGTGTGTTTGCAGTTTTTGGAGAAACTAGTGGTTACTGACCCAATTCTGACTTAGAGAGGAAGTGAGAAATGTGGCTGGAGCTCTTGATACGTGCAACAAAACACCCGAGAAGGTCTTTAAACCCTGAATACTAAAGAAGCAATGTTTCCCCAATTTGTGACTCACGCATGTTTATGAAATACTTATATCTTTTAGGTAATGCATGGTGGGCTGTTTCACTGATAGTGAAGCATCAAAGCGTCCTTTTTAATTGACCTGTGCTTTAACGGGTACATTCCCTTTGAGAAACAGAATCTCTTTTATATGGCAGTGGCAAAGATGGAACCGTATACAAGTGTTTACATGACAGGGAAGTAAATGGGCCAAACTCCAAAGAACTACTGTTTGACTTAAAAAACATACACTTATTCCAGATTACACATTTTACTGATTACATTAAATGATGATTATAGAAACAAAAATAATCGTTAACTTTATTAATAAATGATATTATCTATGTTTCACTGACATAACAAGACATTTGAAGACATCACCTTGAGCATTGAGAGACTTGGAAGGAGCTTTTATTTGTACTATTTTTTTTTTTGCCAAATCATTTTTTGTAGTCTACATCATCGCTTAAATGTCGGTACATCCCATAGGGTGTCTTGGTTTGTTTAGCACAAGTCTCTCAACAGAAGCGTGATGGTAGTTCAACCACGTGGACAAGTATTTTATACAGTAGTCACATGTTCCATTAGCCATGCAAACATGCAGTATACGTCCATGACTTTTAACACTAGACAGGCCTTTCTGTCTGCATACACCAACCCGTACATATACAACATCAATTCTGCCCAACTGCAATTTTACTCCCTACAACTTGGTAGCATTAAGTTGTAAGTTCATCTGGTGTGTTTCTTTAAATACATGCTCATGTTTATCCAATGTTGCATTTGGTGTTTGCTCAGATTGTTTGAGAGCATGTGCAGAGCCACAATCTTCAATGAATACTGTTTTGAACGGTTAAACCCTCAATGTGAAAATTCCAACAAAGAATTTGAGTATTTTTAGCTCTCCAGCTCTTTGACTGTGGTTTTACCAACCAGGGCAGGAAGGGGGTTTTCTTTTGTTGGTTTTGTATTTAGGATGACATACTAATCTTCAGGTATTTGGTTGATTCTGTGTTTGCCATTTAAGGTCTTCTTTTAGAAGAAAATGTCTTGGGTTAAGGATATAGTCACTCAAGCGAATGGAAGTTGCACTGCCCACTTTCAGAGACTGAGTTGAGCCCATCATGAACAATATAAAGTCAACACAAAATTCCACAAGACCGATGAAAGCAGAATCACAGACACATGTTATCAAGTTCAGTACATTTATTTTTGTATGGGACATTTCTTAAATATCTTTATTCGTTTCTTATACTAATTGTTTTCTTAAAATAAAAAGAATCACCCTTTTTTAACCCTTTCAAAGTGCATTTACGCTTTTTAAATGTACTAAGAACTTTGTAGTTTTTAATGTAAGTAAAATATTTTGGACCTCAAAGTAAATTTGTGTTTTGTATATTTGGTATTTGTCTCTCCTCTGCCGCACACACCGAGGGTGACATGTTTTAGAGCCAACTGCCTGCTTTGCATAGCCCAACTGATCTGGAGCACAATGTCCTTTTATATACAACAGTAAAACTATGCCTCATGACCTGTGACTTGCTCGACAAAACACTTGCCTGTTATGAAAACAGTCCATTGGAGCAATAGTTAATGCCGCTTTCCTTTCCTGACATGACCCTGCAGCGCCGTATGTTCTGTATGAAGTAGGAGGGAAACCCTGGATGAGAGCTGAAAGAGGAAAAGGGAATGGAGTCGGATATTAAAAATACAAATTCATCGGTTGATTTTCCTAAATCATGCCTAGTGTACAATGTGTACTGTTTTACAAGTGTTGCTGGATTCATTGGATTATTATGATCTCACTAACCTCAGTCCTTGTTTGTATTGCAGACTGTTCGCAAAGTCACTTCAGTGGATGGCCCCAGAAGTGGAGGCCAGATGGAAATTGGGTCACATGACCGCCCCCAGGAAGGCGCGCTGAGCCTGGAACTGGCCAATGGGGTGAATCGCTTCCCCAATGATGAAGCCTCATCTATGGAAACAGATCAGCAGAGGGCAGGGAGTGTGCCCCCTAGGCAGTGCTGGGTGTCAGGACATGGAAAGGTCAGTGACACCCAACAACAATGTTGGAACGGCAGCAGCGGTCTCACCCCTGGTGAACCTGTCCACCACGCAAACATGGAGGACGCCCACAACCTGGTGGCTTTCTCTGCTATAGCCGGCTCCCTGCCTCCTTCTTCCTCCTCCTCCTGCCCCGTGAAGCCTAACACAGGCCGGCTCTATGAGAAGTTCACCAAAGAGGTGGGTGCTGATGGAGTTCAGGCCAAACCTGAGGGAAGCTGCCAAACTCCAGAAGACTTGAACACTCTCCAGTCAGCACTGAGCCAAGCTAAGCATGGACACAAGCCCCCCAACTGCAACTGTGATGGGCCTGACTGTCCAGACTACCTTGAGTGGCTGGAGAAGAAGATTAAGTTGGCCAATAGTGGGGATCAAGGTGGCTGCAAGACGGCGGAGGCTCCCCCACACGTACACCCTCATCTGCAGCATCCCCATTTGCAGCATCACCCTCAGCCCTACCCCCAGATGAATGGTGGCCACCGTCTGTCTTCTCCCTATCCCCAGCAGCAGGGATCTCAAGGCCCTCACTCAGTCCATATGCCCTGCCCCAAACCCCCAATTCCCTGCTCTCCCCAGGTGCTCTCCATAGCCAAGGAAAAGAACGTCAGTCTGCAGACAGCCATCGCAATAGAAGCTCTGACGCAGTTATCTGGTGCTGGTCCACAAGCTGCCGGATCTCCCTACAACAGTAACCTCCATCACCACCAACATACCCACAACCTCCAATCTCAACCCCCCAATGGCACTAGCGTGATCCCGTCCTCTCCCGGCCCCCAATCATCCTCCTCACGCTCTCAATCCGTCCCTCCAGGACTACACACCATCCAGCAGGCCCCAGGGTCCTGCGAGCACCACAGACCCCATTCCCAGGGCCAGCCACCCGATGCTTCCCCTCTCCCCTCCTCTACCTCTCCTTTCCCAGGCCAGGGAAAACATCCAGGCTTCAGCCCTAATCCCCAGCAGTGGCAGCAGGGTGCAGGTAGAGGCTCTGAACAGAGGAACCCGTGGATGTGTGTTAAATCTGAGCCCCAGTCTCACTACGCTGCCGCGCCTCACAGCAGCTCAGACCCCATGTCAGAGCTTAAACAGCTGCTTGGTGACACCAGCAGCAAGTTTAGCAATTTCAAGCTTCCAGTCCCACAACAGCTGAATCAGAATGGAGGTGTCCAGGTCCAGGACAACCCAGCATTGGCCAGGATAAAGCAAGAACCGGACTCTGGTGAGCACTACCATCACACTGCCTCCATGGGGCATTACGGCATGGCTAATGGTCAGCAGCTGGGTCAGCACTACCCTGGCAGTCCTCTATCTCCTGGCCAGGCAGCCATCCGCCACTCCACTCAGGCAGCTCTGCAACAGCACCTTCACTACAAGAGGAACCTCTTCTCTAACCACTCCCCTGTCTTTGGAGCACCAGGCCCCCGTGCACCTATGGCTTGTCAAAACTTGAAAAAATGGTGGCCACAGATGGAGGCAGAAGGGTTGCCACATCTGCCCATCAAACAGGAACCCAAGGAACCCAAGAGGAGAAAAAGCAGCCAAGGTTCTCCTGTTGTTAAAGCTACGAGCGGGATGCTTGCAGTCCCTCCTCTGCCCAAACCCAAGCCGATAATCATCAAGAAGACCAAGCAGAAAGCCTCCCTGCCAACCTTCCTGCCTCAGAATCAGATCACCGTACAAAAACCATCAGTCCTCGCGATGGACAGAGCCGCAGCCCTGGCCGGCCTGCTACCCTCTCAACCCATCCACAGTAACTCCACTCAGGCTGCTGCTGCAGGCCTCCCTGCCCCAGCCCAATCTCAGGTATCCATTTCCAACTCCTCAATGACTCCCTCTTCCACTGTTTCTGCTTTGTCTGAAAACACTCCGGTCCTCATGGGCCACATTCTCCCATCTGTGGCCCTGTTTCCTAAATCAGATGGAGTGGGCATCTTGGCCTCCAGTAACACCAGCACACCTGTGACCTCCACATCTCCATCCAGCACTTCACAATTACAGAGTGTCATGAACATAGACCCCAAGTATGAAGAACTGATCCGGCAGTTTGAGGCTGAATTTGGGGACTCGGCCTCAGACGCACCTGCCACTCAGTCCATGGAGACGTCTACAGACCCTCAGCCGCTGAACCGGTCCCAGACAAGTTCTCAGGACCTCAGTCCCACATCATCGACTCCCTTAATTCACAACTCTCAAACCAGCTCCACACCTCATCCAGACGATCGGGAGATGGACGTCAACAAGTCAGGGACCCAAAGTGAAGCAACCATGAACAAGACACCTACAGAAAGCCCTAAGGTGGATAACAATCAGCACCAGGAGGCCAGGAGACTTGAGGATATGTTCAGCATGCCGTGTTCTTCACTGCCCAAGCGTATGAAGATCGAATCCTCTGGGGATATAACAGTACTTTCCACCACATGCTACTCTGAGGAGGACACGCCAACTAAGGACGGACTGCCCTCCTCTCCGTCTCTCAGAGGATTCCTAGAGTCTCCTCTGCGATACCTGGACACCCCAACCAAGACCTTGCTGGATACTCCTTCCAAGGATCTACAGGCAGAGTTCCCCGTCTGCACTTGTGTCGGTAAGTCAGTGTGTTGAGAGCCCTTTTAGGATAAATATAGTATCAATCTTACACATTTCACACCATTTCAAACGCTTCAATTCATATCTAAGTGGAGATAAGTTGATGTCTGTTGGAACAGTAAATCTGACCAGTGTTGGGTAGTAAAAGCTTTTCCTTGTGGTGCTTTTTAGTATCAACTGGGCATGCATATTCTGCAGGGAGGACTCTTGGGAATCTAAATCTGGATATCTTGCAGCTTAACATTAATGCACCTGTCACTACTAGGTCAATTATTACAGTCCCTCTCTGTGTGGATGCTTGTTGAGTGTTTCTGAGAATGTGTGTGTTGCCGGGGGGTGTGACTGTGACCATAGAGACTGCGACAGTGTGAGGCACTAAAGGCAGCGGGTGGGAACAATAGCAGTGGTGGCAGAAGGAGCCTTTTGTGTGGGTTTGGGTCTGGCAGGCAAGCAGAACAGAGCCTTTGTTAGACAGAAAGGCTTCAGTTTGGGTCGTACCCTGCTCAGGTTAACAGAGTAGGTGGTCCTACAGTAGAAAGCTATGAAACACGTATAGATCATGTCACAGATTCCATATTTAGAATAGGATAACAGTAAGATAAAGGTGCTTTAGACAGAATGAGGCTTCAATACACCCACATCATTTCTCTATTCTTTATTATTTAAGAAGATCAAGCCTGTCTTCTTATTTCCAGCTTGTCATTAATGAGTGAATAACTAAAGCAGTATATCACCTGAATTGACTGTAGTTAGCAGCCATTAACTTGTTGCAATGACTGAAAAAGGAAATATTTGTTCTCTATGAAGGAATTACCAAAAATGTTTTGCGGTTTTTAAGCTCTAATAGTCTGCTTCTCTGGTGCGCACCAGACGACAGTTTGTTACATTGTTTCATTTTTCAGAAGGTTCGGTTTGCGTTCACACAAAATTCAAACAGACTATAAACTTTAAACACAAGTCATGTGCACGGAAATGCTGTTCAACCATTGGTCAGACATTAAGGGGGTAAAAACGCAAATCCCGGCAATTTCTACCGGAGCCTCCACCATGGAGCCTCCGCCATGGAGCATCGGCAGGTTATTTTCATGCTGCTGTTAATCTGGAGATCATATCAAGAGCAACGGCGCATATGATTATATAATCAGACAACGTGCGATACAAAACATTATAACACATATCATGAGAGACGTTCTGCAGTAAGGAGGGGCGTTTCACCGACGGCAGGTGGCTCTGACTTTTATGTATATAGTTAGATAGTTATTGTTTTTACTTTACACGACACTGTTCAACCTGTTTTCAACATATCATTCTGCTTCACTCTTTCACTAAAGAAATGAAGACACCCGCGTTCTTGTGACACGTAAATACTACGCTTCCTATGTTTTGGTGCAGACTGCGTTCACACCAGCGATGAACCGCTCCAGAGTTCACTAGCAAGCGGTCCGAGACCACCTATTTTAGTGGACCAGATTCCGGTTGTTTAGTTCACTTAAGAGGTCTCGGACTGCGTTCACACCGACCCAAATGAACCACACCAAGCGGCTAAACGCACCAGGGTTCGATTCAACCGGATTATAAAAGGCTGGTGGAAATGCGCCCACTAAAGTGAACTATCTAAACACTCACTGAGCCTCTCAGTCTGTCAGGAGAGAGCTCTCCCTCCACATTATTGTAGAAAGAGCTTCTTTTATCCGTTAGCGCAACAGAAGCTAACAACAATCCCCGCCGGTACCGGTGCGCCCTGTGTCTCTCTCTCTCTTTCATCACTTACATCGCTCATCATACAGGGCAAATGGAAAATGTAACCGGGGTGAAAAGGGTGTTATCTTTACTTAATTATGAATGTTGTTACATCAAGGCTGACATTTTTTTTGAATTATATTTGTATTTTTCCATTTAATCTTGTGGACGTTCAGATTCCCTGTCCTCCATCAGGGGTTGCTGCAGCACCCTCAGCACCCCTACTTCCCATTGCCCTTTCCGTCCAATGTGAAATGCTGTAGCGTTTTCTGAAATGCTGTTGTGTTTTCTGAAATGCTGTGGCGTTCTCTGAAATGCTGTGGCGTTTTCTGAAATGCTGTGGCGTTTTCTGAAATGCTGTAGTGTTTTCTGAAATGCTGTTGTGTTTTCTGAAATGCTGTTGTGTTTTGGGAAATGCTGTAGTGTTTTGTGAAATGCTTTAGTGTTTTGTGAAATGCTGTGGCGTTTTGGGAAATTCTGCAGCTTTTTGTGAAATGCTGTAGTGTTTTGTGAAATGCTGTGGTGTTTTGTGAAATGCTGTTGTGTTTTGTGAAATGCTTTAGTGTTTTCTGAAATGCTTTAGTGTTTTGTGAAATGCTGTGGCGTTTTGTGAAATGCTGCGGCGTTTTCTGAAATGCTGTGGTGTTCTCTGAAATGCTGTAGTGTTTTCTGAAATGCTGTGGTGTCTTGCACCTCAGGGCCACCGTACCTTACACATGCTATGTTATAGTTTGGCCCAATTTGCTATGTTTTTGTACTATCTACATACCTGATAAAAGGGGAGAATTATGACGAGTCAAAGTTAGGTTTCATTCTCCAGTACTTTACTCGAGTGAGGAAAGTGTCCCGAAACCCCCCACCTAATGACTTTCACCTAGCTGGCTTTCACTTAGCTGGCTCTCTTCCTCTGGCGCCAGGCTGTGCGGTTGAGGGTCAGGAGTAGTAAAGGGGGATGGAGGCAGTGTTTGCCGGGGGACATTGCTGGACGTCTCACCGTCAGTGATAAATGGGGTTAAAAAACCCATCACTGCCGTGAAACGCCAGGGTTTATATCCCTCTGACGACCCTGCCCCGCTTCTTTTAGCTTCTTTATCCCTAGCTTTCTCCTTCCTGAATCTGTCCCTCAGTGACTTCCACCTTGTCCTACACAATTCCTCTAATGAAATCAAATCAAATTAAATAATAAACTTAATTTCTTGAATTACTTGAAGAATTTACAAAATTATTCCTCCCTGAATGAAAACCTTACCCCGTTATCACTGTCAATTGCATAAAAGGTTTTACATTTCACACTTTATATGATGAAAATGTATGACATTAATGTCTTTGGTGCTATTTTATGCAACATTCCATGCTGGCTAAATACTGTCTATGCCTGCAAGCTTTCCATTCAATGTTAAAACGTACACTGGATATAAAATCCCCAAACAGGCGAAAACCTACGAGTTTAACCCACTATCTCTGCCACCTCCCTCCATGTCTGGCTCTTCCGGTTTGTATTCCGGTAAGTAAATAGGGACTGGTCGTACAAAACCGGGTGATTCCCCCCCATGATCTTTTCCTCAATTTTTTGGAACATGAGGAAATGAGGAATATGGCTCTCCCAGCATACACACGGTTTGATTGGCTAGCGCTTGTACTGGCAGATTTGCATAACGGGATTTGATTGGCTGACGCTTGAAAAGTTGAACTTTTCTCAACTTTTGAAGCGAGCAACGCGAGCAAAGCGAATCGACGGTACCACAATGCAGTTCGGCAAAGCGTGACGTCACTCCATTCAAAGTGAATGGGAAGAAGCGTTGAAGCGTGTCATTCGTGACTCTTGTGTGAAAGACATGGGCGGCGCCAGGATTTTTTTGCTGCAGTAGCTTAGCAGTTGCTATATGACAGCCCGGAGTTGCTAGTTAATTTTCAAAATAAATAAACAAACAATGCCAGTGGGCCAAGCACGAGCCTGTTCATATTGTAGCATTCACCGCTATTCAAAATCACAGATCACGAGCCTTCAATGTCGAAAACGTTCTCTTTATTTTCTGGTATTGACGGCCACAGCTACGCCTTACAGAACCAATCAATAGTAGAACACTCATTATGACTTTTCCCCACACTCGAAGACAACTCCTACCGCCTCGTACTCCCTCCACACCAGTGTTGGGTGTAACGCGTTACAAAAGTAACGGAGTTACAGTAATATATTACTTTTTGCTGTAACGAAGTAATGTAACGCATTACTAATGAAATTTGGGTAATATATTACCCGTTACAATGCTCAGTAACGCAGTTACAACACATTTTAACCCGAAATTAAATGGTGTTTTGTTGAATGTACTAACATAGCGAGACATTCCGACACCAGACAAATTGTGCGGGTAGATTAGTAAACCTGGTGTGTTTACCCTCCAGGCTTCGCGTCGGGATCTTCGGGGCAGTTGAATGTTATGCACCCTCTATTCAAAAAAGAGAACAGAGCGAAAAATACAAACAACAAATTGTGTCAGGGGCGCGTGACCTGCTCCGCTGCGCGTGCATCATTTCAAAAGTGCTTCCACAGCAGTGACACACATCTGTGGATAATCAAATACGAAAATGGTTAAACAACCATCACTAAACGCCAGCA